TATACCTGAAAGTACTTCTGATTCCCTTTATAAATTAAGCTTTTTACGTCATGAAGGAAGCCACTTCAACAAACAAAATGGAAAGGCAGATTGTTAGTTGTCACTGCAGGGAACTATCATTACATCTTACTGTGGGTGTTTTTGGTTTTCGTGTTGTATGTTTTGTTGCCCTTTTTTTTTTTTTTTGAGATTTGGAGGGCTAATAGCAGGGCAACATGCAAAACTTTCAAAGCAGTGTTTAAAAAGTTGCGTTTTTTCCTTCTCACAGAAGAAAAAATAAGCCTTAAATTCATAGCAGCTACTCTATCTCATTTTTAGAATCAACACAGAATTCCAATGATTAGTTTGTCTACTTGATCTTTTGTCTGTCATTATTATTAATTTGCAAATTGAAATATAGAGTGGTATTTTTTAATGAACTATACAGATGTTGCAACAAAAATTTGATAAAATCACTTGTTTCATTCTTTTCTATTTTGCAGACTCATCTATGGGACTATTCTTTTGCCATTTAGCTTTGCCAGGAATCCCAGAATTCCCATTATAGAAGCTTTCTTTGCATCTCAAGCTGACCTCTGGACATGTCATTTACAAAGTGGCAGCTCGGGATGTCCCAGTTTGTTAGATCATCCCTCTTCCTTGGTTACAAGCTAACGGTTTATTTCAAGAATATGATAATTTTCCTAATCAAAGATTTACAAGAGAAGGCAATAGTGTTACAGGAAGAAATCCAAGCCCTTAAGGAATGGAGGAAGATCAGGAAACAAAACCTTAAGTCATTACAGAAAGAGACTAGGAATATGATCACAGCCTTCCAAGAAAAAAACAAAGCCTTTTGGGAAAAGAACATGGCTGTCTGGCAAAAAGCCATGATCCTTTGGGTCAATGTCAAGACACTGCTAATGGAAGAAGTGGAGATCTGGGGAGAGGATCTAGACCAGTGGAAAATTGGGTTGGATCTCTGGAAGAAGGAGTTGGACCTTTGGAATGAGGAACAGGGATTCCTGGCAAAGTAAAACAACCGCTGAAGGAAACAGCCAACATAAACTACTGTTTTGGCTGCATTTAAGATGCTTAAAATGCTTGGAATGACTGCTGCCTTCTTAAGCTCATAAAGCCTTGATGGTTACGTGAACTCTCGAACCCTTTCTTGGCAAGTTTCCTCTGTCAATTCTCTTCCGTTTCAGCTCAATCGCTCCGATGCAGYCGCTAAGTGCCGTTAGGCTGCCCTTTAACTTCCCAGTGGATGGGGATAGCGGGGTTGCTAAATCTTAGTTTCAGCATGGTAAAATTTAACTATGACAATTCTAATTCTCCAGAWGTAATTATACAGACATTCCTGGCTGTCCCTACGTATGAAATAAATTCTTTGGGGATATGGAAAGAAGGGGGGAGAGAGAGAGAGAAAGAATCAAAGGCAAAGGGATGAAAGCAAGCCAGTATAATAAAGACGTGCAGAAAGACGTGCATGCCTAAAAGATGTGCAGAAACATTTCTACAGGAAAACTGAGCTGACTACACAAAATGCCTCRACTTCCACAGGGAATGAACATTCACAGCTCCATACAACTGCCCTGCATACTCCCTTGAAATCATGCCTGTTTTCTCCAAAGGGACACAGCTCTCTCATTCTCCTTCCTCATACCCAAAGTGAGCTCTGATAATGGAGCCTTAACTAACACTGAAGTTTCCAGAATAATTATCATAGATAAAAAACAGCTCCTTTTTTTTCTCTCATAGATACACTTGTCTCTCTTTGGGATAATTCCATTAAATGTTCATTTCAGTGAGAAAGTAAAACATTACTTTTTAGTGTCTGTTCATTCGCGTTAGCCTGAGGTGATGCAGATGTCATGCTTGACGACTTAATCCAAAAGTTGCTCTGAAATCTCCGTACTCTTCAGCTGCCAAAACAGCAACATTTTAGGACCAACARTTCTTTGCTGGGTACAAAAATATTTTGCACTGCCATGCTGCACAATATTTCARAACAAATATTAGAATCATTGAGTGATTTAGATTGGGAGCTCCGGAGGTCATCTGGCTTTATCTCCTCCTAAACATCAAATTTACATTTTGCTAGAATTAGAAACTCGGCATCCCAGGGAAGATTTCTGAGAAATATTAAGAAGAATCTCCAAGATCAAGTTTTCTGCAATCATCCATTTTTGACTATGCCTGATAATGCTGAAACCTAACCCGTGTGCACACACTGCAAAAAACTATGTGAATAAACTGCTGTATTTCCCTCACAACTTTTTTCCCTGTTACTCAGCAGGCATAAAAGTGATTTCCATTAACTTCAAGATCTTGATGGAATTCCTCGAGCTCCTGGGGTAGAGACAGAGAAACTGAGATTCATTTAGAAAAGATAACAATGAGCAGTAGATGAATCCTCTAACCATGCTGATTCCCATGAAGATTTAACAGACTCCTAAGTCAAATGAAGGTGAATTTTAAGGAATAAGGAAAGGAAACGTAAAGGAAGCGAAGGAGAGTCCCTGCATACACAGCAGACTACATACAATGCATTGCAAAAAGATTTCTAATCACACAGTAGTTGTTCTGCAGAAGAGAAGTTACTGCACTTAATAGTAATGATGAAATAGGAAGCATGTCACCCAAACAGTCTCTATTCAGGTGAATGCTTGAACAGAAGCCTTATACTGGATATTAGATATTATTAGATATCCTGGATATTATTAGATATCCTGGATATTATTAGATATCCTGGATATTATTAGATATCCTGGATATTATTAGATATCCTGGATATTATTAGATATTAGATACCCATATACTGGATATCAGATTATTTATATAAAGATTTTCAAAATGTGTCTTGGAGAGACCAAGCAAAGCTGATTTTCAGGAAGCAGAGCACCTAGTTTCTTCTTAAAGTACTGGTCAGTTTGCAATRTATGGTACACAGCTTCTACATACAATAGTTTAAAGCCATTTTTCCTGTGTTTCCATTCACCTCCCTTGTGTATCTAGTGGRCTACCCAAGTTTACAGAAGTGGGTACACGGGAGGCCAGGTGAGGGGTTTTTGTTCGTATTCSCAGACACATCTCAGCTCTTGGCCTTTTCTGCAGAGTATAATTGCCACAATACAACTATCACTCATGGACTGAATCACCCCTAGAAGCCAGGTCACGTCCAAGCTGTCTAAGCTTGGAAACGGGCCGATTAGAAGAGACATGGTCTGTGAATCAAAGACAGCAGAACCATCGCTGCCACAGGAGGCTTCATTCAGAATAACCAACGCCCTGGCCAGCCCTTTGCGCTAACACTCCTCAGGTTCTGCAAGGCCATTTGAACTATGTCATTTGCATCGACATTTGTGGGATTATGAGACCTTGCAGGGGTGGCCCAGCACGCTGCAAGAGGCTGGTTGCTAAAGGAAAAGCGGTGCTGTGTGACCTCACAAACRCTGAATGTTTAGCGAGCTCCGACTCCTTCGCATTCTAGACGTGACATGGTGGTTCCAGATGCTCCATGACACTCTTGTCTTTAGGGTGCAAGCTCTGGCAGCAACGGCAGCATAGAAGCCTTGAGCACAGTCTAAAACAAGCAGGTTAGTTACGATGTTGGAAAAACAGCATTTAACAACAAAAATTTGATTTAGAGGTAAAGAGAATAAGTAAGTTAGTCTACAAAAACAGGATCCAAAGCTTCTAATATGTTTTAAAATTGATTCCCTGAAAGGTCGTATCACATAGTACGAAGAACTAGCAAATGCAAGGGGAAACAGCTGATCACTGCGCCCCATGTAAGGCCTCATAACTCATGTTCACAGCAAAGTGTACTCTGATATGTTCTGTGGACAAAACTAGACTTTTTTGGGGTAAATCTGTCCAGTGTTTTCTCCTTCCTCCAGGGAACAGAGTTCACGTACAGTTTGAGATGGTCACTGCTCATTGACAATGGCAGATTTTTTTCACAGACATTACTATGAATAGCAGTTTCTTCTTGCCATTCTAYACAATGTGATGCTACTGGATCTGTAACCCCCCTTCCCAAACAACGCAGTAACAGAAACAGCAGCTAAGAGTTCAAATTATGAGAGTTTGTACCTTCAAGTTACTATAGTATGCTAACAAGCAAAACTTGCTTATACGCCACAAACACACGCACTCAGATACGCTAACAGGCAATCTATGCAGTGAAATGAAGGGGAATTAGCCTGAAAAATTCAGCRAATTTCCATTTAATCATCAATTCATAAGCTTTAGAAGATAAGGTCTAATCACAAGAGATGCAAAAGCGTTCCTGAAAGAATGATCGAAAGTAAAGACTATTTAAACACCTGCACAAAAGAATTCAGATTGTCTCATAAAATGTAATTCATAGAAGAAAGACTCCTTTCTATTACACCCATAATACCCTTAAGCTAGAAGTACAGGTAAAACGCCTAAGTATTTGCTTTAGTTGCAATTTCCTTTAAAATTAAAGCACACGAGGGCCAATAATGACTGCACAAAATCGACTATGCAAATCACAGCACTTTTAAACTATTCAAAACAGAACTGGTGAGGAAATAGTATAGGGCTCCTGAAATTATTCTAAATGACTAGTGGTTATATTTGCCATGCTGCAAGACAAGCTCCTTTTAGGCACATCATATTCAGCTCTGAAAATAGTTAGCTAAAGCACTTGTCACTTCTGAAAACTACTCATGGTTAAATTTTTAATATGCTAACTCATACTGCATTTATAGAATGACCTGCTCAGTTTTGACAGTTTCTTTATCTCATATAGCTTAATTACAGTGCATGGAATTTGTAGTTGTGCTACATATTTTGTTTTAGGGGTCTTCACAAGATTTGCACAATTTTGCACAAACTTCTCAGTTTCTCTGGGAAAAACAGACAGCATCATGCACAGCAACACATTCGTACTGCAAAGACTTGTTGCGTCACCCAGTCAGCTCCAGGCACCCGGTTTCTCCAGAGTTACTTATAATGTAGTGGAAAGAAAGCAAAAACCTGAGCAGAGGATGGAGCAGGTAAAGCAAAGCAGTGAGATACCTCCATTCTACTATGCAAACAGACCGAATAAGAACTTCCACGTGGACCTGTCCAACTGCCACAAGAAGCAGCTTTGCAGGAGTTTCAAGGAAGAGAAAAAGAACTTCAGGGAGGAAATCAGAGACTTTTGCAACAGTAATAAGAACTTCAATGAAGAAGTCAAAGCCTTTCAGGAGAAGAAGAAAGCCAAAGCCTTGCGGAAGGAAATCAAGGCTTTCCGGGAGAAGAACAAAGTTTCCATGGAAGAGATCAAGAAATTTTTAGAGGAGAGCAAGAGCTTCCTCCAAAAGATGATGGACTTGCAGATGAAAACAAAAACTCCCCAGGAACAAGTCAGTAGCATTCAGAAAAAGCTTGAAGAATATCAGAAGAAGATGAAGGCTGCCGAGGAAGAGATCCAGAATCTCGAAGAAATGAATAAGGCCTGGCAGGAAGCAGTCAGGGATTTTCAGAAGAAGACTAAGGATATCCAAGAGAAGAATAAAGTCATGCGTGAGAAGAACAAAATGCTGCAGAGAAAGAATGAAGCTATGCAAGAAAAGAACAAGGCTTTCTGGAAGGATTATATAGCTTTCTGGAAAAAGGACAAGATCTTCTGGGAGGAAGATATGAACATCTCAAGGAACAAACTGATTCTGTGGAAAGAATCTATAGCTTTCAGGGAAAACGACCAGAACATTCAAGAGGAAAAAGGAGCGCTGTGGGATGTGGTGGAAGCGCTGTGGGATGAGAAATTTTCCCTCTTTAAAAAGGTGTATGCCCCTCCAGGACAGGAGAAATTAGCTGAAAGTCGGGAGAAAAACGGCCGTGGTGATTACAACCCAGGCGCAGACACCGCGAACGGAGCTTCACAAGAAGTCTGCCAGATCTAAAGCAAAACTGCAAGGACCTACATGCCAGCACACGCATGCAGAAACACAGACGGGTCCTTTCATCGTAGGAGCTTAATAAAGTCCTGGTACAGCTTAAGAAAAAATAGAACAAAAAGTTCAGGTTATTATTTTAGCTTTATGTTTACTTTTATTTTTTTTTCTTACTTGCTTCTCATTTCTCTTGACTGCAATGCTCCTCTTAAAGTGTGTCAACAAGGACAGTTCTTGTGTTATATTTYGTACAGTTATATTTTTGTTATCCACATTTAATCAGACCTCCATCTTTTTAAAATAGTGGACAGTTGACTGGAGAATTTCTGAAGTTCAATTTAAAAGTGAAGCAACATCATATGGTAATTGATTCTTTTTTCAGAGCAATCATATTAAAAACAAACTAAAAATCCCAGTYGAGTCATAGAATCATAATTGTTCAAAAAGACCATCAAGATCAAGTCCAACCATAAATCCTTCGACATCATGCAAATAYTTCCTCCCAAAAAATGTCACTCAAAAATAGATAGCATTTGATACTATGTGTGAGTGGTGTCTTTATTGCTGAGCTAATTCAGTTGAGCAGTATTAAGACAAATACTTCAGCTGTATAGGCAAAAGTTGCACCAAAGGATTCCATCGTATCATTGAGTTGATCCATTCAGGAGAGCCAAGTCATGCAGCTACCTGCCTGCTATGCTTTAAACACTGAAATAGGAGCTTATACAGAGAGGCAATGCATGTGTGTGTGAAGACAGAGACAGAGAGAGATGTATATCTGGGATGATTTGCAGCACGAGGCTGGTAAGAAACTAAATTCTGGATTTCAACCTTTCCTCTTTCTTTATACTTGTTGTGTAGAGAACCCCACTAATGAGATAGCTGGTTCAACAGCATCAGTAGCAAATCAATAAAACAGCTCACAAGGCCAAATCCCCATCTGCTGCATCGCTAAATAACTGAAATACATGAAAGGAATCAACTGATTTTAATCAATGAATGTTCTGTGAACAGGAAAATAAGTTAATTTCACAATATGAACACTCATACCTGTCACATCCCTGCCACTTTACAATTCCTACAGTGTTGCCTATCGATGTCACTAAGTCAAAGAAATGCAAGTTTCTGAAGCTAGTTTAAAATATGGACATCTTTTAATTAAAACAAAATTCCAGTGGAAGCTGGCCAGTACATGGAATAGGACTGTTAAGAGATGTTCACTCACCCGCATGAATTTTCAAAAGAAGTCTAAAAATGACTTATTGCAGGGTAAGAATCATTATTGAAGAAATTGCCTGTTTCACATCTTTGTTGGTCATGAGGACACCATTAACATGAAGGAAGAAAATCTTTCCCTCTCTCAAATATAATTAGCAGAGGATTTCTTATACTAGTCCTAAAATTTACTCTGACTGCACTGCTTAGTAAGGACACAGCTGTAACCTTCAGTTTAAGAATGTAACTTTTGCAGAATATCAGCCAAAACCAGGCAAAGAATTTCTATATCTCTTTAGGATCTAAATTATTGACTTTGTGAGCATGAAGAATATAGCCCAAAGGAATGATACAGTGGAGGACCTTTCATTATTGCTGATCAGGAAGGACTGCAAATGTGACATGACTGAAGAATATGCCTTGATATAGGGATTTATAAACCTGACATGAACTAAAAGGAGCTAGAGACAAGACCAGATGTAAACAAGACTGCAGGAATTAGCCTTTAGAAGAGTAAAAAGGAAAAAAACAAAGATGCATAATAAATGATGTACAGGATGTGACTTCTGGTTTGACAAGCAATCAGGGAAAAAAAAGTCTATTTTTTTAGGCACGTTGCCAGTCAAGCTAAGAATTGTGAACTCGCATGTGTGGGAGAGGAAGTCAAGAGAGGAGCTGGGGGACAGGTGGGCTCACATCTCTGTTTGGGGAGCTGCCTTCTGGGTTGTTCCAGGCTGACACATTTCTGTTGTGACTGGTCCTGTCAGGATTTGTCACTCATATCATGTCTCATTGTCTCTTGAATTGTAATTAAATTTGACAGAGGAAAACAGACCAGCTGAGTCTTAACACRCTGTGGCAGCTAATAGATATGCATATTTGTCAATAGTTTTGCTAAAYAAACCTCGCTGGGTAAAAGATTATGGAAAGAGTAAAGACAAAAACATAAAAAGCCCTCTAGCATGGAGAGAGGCATGATAAGATTCTCAAATAATTGGAAGGCCTCCAGAGAGTCTCCATGACTTCACACACAAGGACAGATGCTGTCTGGGTGCACGGTATAAACCCTTAAATGCACTCTGAAACCTTATAATATTTATTCCAACGGAGGAGGCAAAAGCAAGGAAGACTGGAGAGTCCCTCCCCTGTCACCTCTTCCAAGGCCATGTCCCTGATGGCCAGAGGAGCCACCTGCTCTCTGCAAGGGCTTTCTTCAACACCAATGGCTCTGTCCAGGAAAGAAAGGGATCTCTCCTGATCGTGAATCGTTGTGCACCAATTACTGCACAGCAGGTTCAGCTAATCCCCATCAAGGGGGTAATCAGAGGACGTTGTGCCACAGGAGAGGTTGCTAGCATGACCACACTGATGAAACTGTATTGTGCTAGGTCCAGAACCACCTCCTGCACCAGTAYGAGCTAGAGCAGCTCCCCACAGGCTCCTTCCATGGGGCAGTAGGGTTGAGTGTGTTGTGCTGACATCCATTTCAGCTGGTTTGTAGGCTCAGCATCAGGTACATGGAAAGCATGGTGCATAGAAATAGATTTTCAAGCACAGAAACAAGCAGATGTGTTCTGACTTTGGATAGGACACTGGGAAGTTACCGATAATGTCATTGTTAACCGCTGAGTTTTGCTGAGAAAGGTCTATGGAAATCACAGAATGGTTGAGGTTGGAAGGGACCTCTGGAGATCATCTAGTCCAAGCTCCCTGCTAAAGCAGGGCCACCTAGAGCAGACTGCCTGCAACCATGTCCAGAGGGAATATCTCCAAGGAAAGAGACTCCACCACCTCTCTCGGCAACCTATCGCAGTGCTCAGTCACTCTCYCAGTAAAGAAATTTTTCTTCCTACCCAGACAGAATCTCATGTGCTTCAACTTGTGCTTGTTGCTTCTCCAGTCTGCGGCACCGCAAAAGAAGGGGAGAGTACAAACCCAAGCGTTACCTCCAACTGTGCAGTCACATCAGGCACCATGATCATGCCACACGCAAGGGAAAACCACCCACTAGCAGCAAACTGGCTCAGCTCCATAGTTCTGGTAGACACTGCTAATTTACTYCATCCCATAGCAACTCTGTCCATGGCTGCCCAGGAAAGCCATTAGAAAACTGAACTTTTCTAAGTTTCCTCCATAATATTCCCCAGTGAAGCAGAGCAGCAATTACATCTAGAGTATTACTTATTAGCTGTATCTTGGGTTTTGAAAGCTCCTCTCAAAGGAAAGACATACTGACCACARATGGCCCTGCAGTGAACTGTACATCAGCTAGATACAAAAGCATAAATTGAGGCTTCCTTGTTCTCTCTAGCAACCAATTAAGTAGACAAAATGAAAGTAATGTGTCTCCAGTGAAAGTATTCTGCTAAAAGAATAGCCCTTTTCTGAGCTTAACAGGTTCATTCTTTCATCTTTCTCAACTCCTGACCTGAGTCAGTTTTATGTGATCTTAACTGGAGCACAGAGCAGCTGGATGCAGTAGGCAACATGGGCGTTAAAGGGAAATCCTAAGAAGCTGCCTTTAAAGATACTGAAATTACTGGAAAATGTCAACCTGTTTGCTTGAAATTTAAATAGAACAACACAGACKGATTCAAAGAACATCTTCTGCCAGGTTATATCACGTCGTCATCATTAGCTTGGTTTTGAGGACAATCAGTACTTGGCAAATTCTGCAAGAAGCTGAGATGCTCCTATGAGACATTAACCATCCTCAGCTCTAAAAATAGCAASTCTCCCAGAGAATTTGTCCCAGAAGCTATAAAATGCAGAATCTCAAGTGATTGTGTCATAACAATATCACTTTTATAGAGCTTAAGCTCCACTGTATAATTAAATGAGTAAATAAGTTGTAAAATAATTAAAAATGAGCCACAGTGAAGTCTGCTATAAACATTTGTGCTCCAGTGCTAATTGCTTCTACTATAAAAGCTACACACCAGCTTCTCCTCTAGTGTAACTCCTGTGAATACATAGAGTTTCACTAGAGATAAATTTTAGTTAATTCTCCTTGCAAAGAGAAAATTGGCCCAAACCAAATTGCATTGCTGCAGAATTAAAAATTGTCTGGTCTCCATCTTTTCCATCTTGAAGCAGAGAGGAACAATGTCAATATAGCAGCTGTAGAGGTACTTCTAGCAACATTACAAAACTCTTGGCTGTGAAGTCCGTATCTGCAAAGATACCTGAAGCACTGAGTGCCAAATCTGTTGAGAAACAGGGATCTGGCCCATACTAAGTCTGTTTAAAAATTGCTATAGAAATGTATAAAGAAGTATTATGCCTTAACGGAGACTGAGCTCTTCTTACAGATGTTCTTTATACTTATTGATCAGTAAAGCTAGGCTGTAAACAATTCCCTTTGGTTATTTTCTGCTCATTCACACTGAGGAATTCAGCACAGGATCTGTAGCACTCTGTCCATTGAACAAGTGAATTTCAAAGGCCACTAGCTTTTTTTTTTATTCTCCTTTCTCTAGTTTCTATGTTTCTGGCATGTCTTTATTCCCTGACTCACTGACCTTGGTTTCCAATTGCCTTATTTCTCTCCCTGTCTCCATCCCCTCTCCATCTCTCACCCCTWGTCCTGTCTTTTCCTCCTTATACTTGTTCCCTTACATTTTTTCCGCTTGTGCCTTTGGGCTTCACATGCCCCTTTTCAGACTGAGAGCCCATCCTGCAGTGCCCTTCTGCCACTGTAAGAAAGAAAAGTCATTATGAAAATCTAAAACTACAAGTAGAAACCGAAGAAGTCTTACTGATGTATGAAACTTTGTTGTTTTCATATAGGTATTCTTAAG